CAAGGAGCAGAGGGAGAGGTGGGTATGAGAGAGGATGTGGTAGGAGAGGATGGGGTGGAACATCTAGATTTAGACTGGAAAAGGAATTTGATTAGGGGGAGAGGGAGTAGAGATAAGATGGTTTGAGGGAGAGATACTGGGGGAGATGCTGAGACTCCTTGAGAAGATGGAAGGGGAACAGAGTGAAGTACAGTTTTGGAATAATTAGAAAGAGAAAAACCTTGTTGGTGTGCTTTTTGTCAGGCCTCACATAGAGTGAGACCTAGTTTGAATCTGAGAGCTGCTACCTCAGATGCTTGTAGGCAGGGCAACTTATATAAAATACAATTGGCACGAATGCGTGACTGAGCATAGCAATTTGAACAGACATGACCAAGCTGGGCACAGAGAGGGCAGTGGGTTGTGGAGTGACAGTGTTTGGCTGGGTGGCCAAAATGCCAACATTTCTAACATAGATGGGGAAGTGGTCGATACAGTTCAAACAGGCAGGAACTTCCACCAAAATAAATTTCATGAGGGAGGTCATGTCTACTGAAGCTAATTTTGGCAATATTGGTGTAGGACTTATGTTGGCCACTGGGAGGAATAGTGTAGCACTGGACTGCCCCTGCATCACTGTCTTCGAGATATGCAAACAAGTCGTTTTCACAGACTGACCTGTCCTTGTCACAGATAGGACAATTAGTTGGGAAGGTGGAAACAGTTCCGGTACAAGTATTCACCCAGTGCCGACGGGCATAACGTGTATGTATATGCTATACCCACTTTGAGCACTTATTTTATTTTTACACATAGAAGGCTACACTTGTACTTAGTCACCAATGAGCCAATTATGAGTACTGCCTGTCTCACACATTTACCCTTTTCTTTGATTTACAAAAATATTTTACTTTATCTTATTTTGCTGTTGCTAATGTTTACAACATTATAGTAATTATAATGTTTATAATAAAAATAACACTATCGATATTCATAGCACTAGTAAAAAATATATTTTTCCAGCCAATTCAAATCATTTAAGGTCACAAAGTCTACTAATTGACTTCTTTGTGGCTAAGCACTAGCAGAGCCATCTATGTGCAGAGACATTTTACAAAAATATAGAAAATGAGGTAAGGCAGTAATAGGTTTGCCAGTGACATCAGTCAGGGTAGATAGTGCACGAGCTTGGGACTCAGATGTAACTGTGACAAAGTGTGAATGGTCAGAATGACTGTGAAAGGAAACTTTTTTTTTTTTTTTTTTTTTTTTTTTGAGACAGTGTTGGAAGAGAAGACTATTATCAGAGTAAGGGGCTTTAGAGGGAATCACAAAGAATCAATCCCACTTGGCTGGGCCAAAAAGGGTAATCAAAAGGTTGCTAAGATGGAAGCAGTAGAAGGACGAAGGTGGGAGTGACATGATGAGAGGTAGTACAGTTGGGAGGAAGACAATAAGGATGATACGAGCAGAGGGAGAGGTGGGTATGGGAGAGGATGTGGTAGGAGATGATGGGGTGGAACATCTAGTACAGTTGGGAGGAAGACAATAAGGATGAAATGTAGTAATAAGGGGGGTGGGGGTAGACAATGAAGACGACTGTGCAGTAGGAGATGGAGTAGAGGATGGTGTATTCTGAAGGTTGAGTAATGACCTGGGTGGATGATTTAGAATGGATAGAGTTGACAGCAAACATCAAGGAAGGGCTATTTGTATCAGTGGCCAGAGCCGTGGTCAAAGGAGAGGCAGGGATCTAAATCAATAAAATCAAATCTAGATAGGCTAATTGATGAAGGGGCAAGCCTTATTACACCTAATATGGATAAAATTTCTTATTGGCCATGCTCAGCCTGAAATAAATAGGGAGAAGAAATGGTCTAGGAAAGGGCTAGGTGTTTAACCAAGGGAATACCATGCCCATGGCTCGGGGAGGCTGTTCATGACTGACACAAAGCCAGCCTTTCATCCTTTCAGCATGGCTCTCACACCTTAGGAAGTTGACAGAAGATGAAGAAGAGAGGGAGAAGAAAAGACATGCAAGATTATTTGAGGAGAGGGCTGAGATCCAAGGTAGGGATGATCTATATTGGGCCCCAGTCTCCATCTCCGAAGCCCCCCCCCCCCCCCCCCCACAACAACAATGTGCAAGGGATTATGGAGGAATACTATTAGAAACAGTATACAGTAGTAATAGTATTTGGAATATCAATGGTAATAGTATAAGTAAAAGTAATAGTAATATCATATCACTAATAAAATTAGTAACAGTATTAGTAATAATACTGGCAATAATATCAGTAATAGTTAGTAATAATAATAGTAATAATACTATTAATAATAAGAGGGTCAATATGTAGAAGAGGGTAGTGGGTTACTTTCGAAACAATTTTGATCGACAACCTTGATTTGATAGTCCCTAAAGCAGGGGAGGGCATGAAGTATATCAGGGAAATTATGGGGTAAAACAAGACCCCCGTGGTTCTTAAACAAAACGTCCTAACCCAACATCCAACCTAACCTAACACCATGGTATATATTTCCATGCCAGGGGGCTCTGCCCCCAGGACCCCTGTGGGAGCATATATGCCTAGCCAGGGGGGCTACGCCCCCTGGACCCCCGTAGAAATATATACATCTAGCAAGGGGGCTACGCCCCCTGGACCCTGTGGTAGTATATGCGTCTAGAATTCATCATCGCAATGTAAACAATCTAAGCGACTTATCCAAAATTGGAGGATCTTCTCTTTTCTTTTCTGTATAGCACACTTGGGAAGCATTCGCACACATATTGCCAAAGAAGAACTTTGTCTTGGTTTGTATTGTTCTCTCATTTCACATAGGTTTTATTACCCAACTCTGCCACTACCTTATACTACATATTGTTCAATAAGGATAACAGTGATAACTACAAATACAATAATATTAATAATAATATTGTTTATATTATTACTATTAACAACAACAACAATACTGACAATGACAGTAAAAATGATCACGATAATAATTAATAATAGTAAAACAACATATACTACTACTACTACTATTACTAGTAATACCACTACCACTTTTACTAACAATCCAAGCACTGCTATAGGAAAAGCATTTTGTTTATCATGAAAATCACTGAAAATAAGGTAAATAATTTATATGTAAGCCACAGCTACACCGGGCTCCCCTCATGGGCATAGCCCGGGCGAGGCTCTGCCTCGCGAATCAGGCAAAAAAAAAAAAAAAAAAAAAAAAAAAAAGTAAGCCACAGATCTACTAATCAGAGTGGAACAAATGAGAAATGAGATGGATTTAAAGACGTTAAGGCCTGTGCCAGCTAATGCCGAATCTAACACCGTAAGCCAGCTAGTACTGACTCGACTGAGCTCATTCCCTATCAACTGTAGTGACCTCCAGGGCCAGTGACCTCCAGGGCCAGCTGCAACTTGTTGCGTCTGGACGGGACGCGACCCGCCGACATCTCAGAGAGGCCATTTCTATAATAAATTACTAACTGTAAATTGCAATGATTTCAACCAGCCAATCAAAAGTTTGCTTCATATCTCTCGAGCATAAAACACTTCGATCGTTATGCATTGTAAATATTTGTTAATTGTAAATCTCCCTGGCCCTCTCTCGTCAACCATGAGATTGCAAGTGGATGAAAGACCAGTTAGCGACGGTCGCATGGCACAGCCATATATTAGGTATTATTAGGGTCACTGATAATTTATACACTAAACAACTAGTTTACTAGCGATTTGCTTGTGCAACAAATCCAGTATTTTTTTATCAAATGTCATACTTTGTCTTTGATGAGCACCTAATGAACGCCAGTATCTGTGTAATGCTTCTACAGAAGTACCTCTGGTACTGGTCACAGTACAACCAATGTTGATTACATTATGAGTAATGAAGTTTAAATTTCCCTCCTAACGTTGCGTTCACATATAATGTTCCATTGTAAAAAATAAAGAAAGAAAGAAATGAATCACTAACCAACACGTCGGGATCCATTGCCGAAATTGTATATATAAATTTCTAGATGTTAATTAGTTCAAACAGTTAGTTCTATAGAAGCTTTCTGTAACAAATTAATGAACTTAAACAGTCTTTCAGCGTGATGAGACTGCTCAGCAGAACGTTACCGCGATCACTGGTGTAGCGCGAGAAAGCGAGGACATCGAAACTTGGGCAAACAAGACCTTATGTAACTGGTTATGTAATGCGTTATGTTATTATGTTTTGGATCTACATACACATAACTTCCTTGTGACATAAAATAACGTGAGTAATATAAGAAACATTATTTAATAAATGTTAACATAACTACAAAATATGAACATAACTCTACATTATATATGTATAACCGCTACAAGTCCTTCCTTGCGAAATGGAATTCCACAGAGAAATCCATGTTTTGCGTTTAAAAGTCAACTTGTACTATCAGTTGCGATATTTTTAAGAGGCCAGAGTAAATAGTTATTGTAAGCATATTAGCTGCCGGGGAACGTATCTCAATAACCTCATGGTGAGTCACCATTACTCATCAGTTTCATTCTTCCAGTATGCACACCCACAACGGAATCACCGTAACAGCAATTCGATCCCTTTATCTGTGAATTAACGCGATAATGTCTTACAAGTGTTCAATCTTTTATTCCGCATTCATGTATAAAGTAACACGATCCTTTGTAAAGTATATTTTTACTATTACAGTCTCTGATTTTTTTGGTGATGACGTAGTGAATGCTAGTGAATGACGCCTGGAACCACGGTGAGGAGTGTTACGTAAATAGTTAATAATTAACGGTTTAAGGGGGCCATATCTTGCGACGAAACGCATTGTCGTCAAGACCTCGATATGGGAATTAAACAAGCTACATAGTAAAAAAAAAAAAAAAAAATCTTTGTTATCAGGAGCAGGCAGGAAATGGTGACGTGTAACTGGCCACTTATTATATTGTCTGACCGTGTGTGATATGGGAGGGATTTCGTAGACATGACTCCATTCTGCCATGCGTGGATTTGGT